ATAAAGTTAACTGTATATACTTGTAATTGCAATTAACTACGTAATTGGATGGATGTTTGGTGTAAACGTTTTGAATGTACTTATATTAAAGACTAATCTAAATACTTACCAGATAGCAATATCTTACACCTATTGAAAAAATTCTAAACAAACATCTTGAATTGTTGATGGCAGTATCTGTTGTTATAGCCCACCCTGCTCAGAGTTGTTGTATTCACTATTCATAGATCCCCCAAGCCGTCAAAGATATTCCATCCAGTAGTGTAGACCACTTCTAGATATATTTAATCTTTTATTTTTAATTAATTAGAAATCATTTATATATAATGATTTATGATTAAATAAGTATATTTCTAATTAAATTCTGAAAGGTCTCTCTTTGGATGGATAACTCACAAAATAAAATAATTAAATATAAAATCAGAAAGTAAAGGAGTGTCGTGAAATGAACATGAATAGACTTATTCACATAAAGGTAAAGTAATATAAATGGGCTCAAAATGGCTTTTAAAAGTGATATACTAGGCTGCGCGTGTGTCCAAATAAAAATGATGTTAATGGCAGTGCCACATTAATTATTAGAGAAAACAAAAAGGTGAAAATAATGCTACTCAAGTCATAGTTTCTTGTCCACTAGCTAGAGCCTAGACATGTTTTGTTGCTTCTTTTACATACATTGGTTTGACAAATACAGTGATCAAAACCTTTGGTTCTTGCTAACTTATATGAACATTATTTTGGTTACTTTGGTGCAAGTGTAGCAAAGTTGAAGCCAATACTAGGTAACCTACTATGCTTCTACTCAATCCATAGAATGTACATTTCAATGGTTCCAGACAAAAAACCTTAGTTCGATATTATTCTCTAGAGACAACCCTGCTTAAACGATATAAGATCATTATATAATTGATAAAACTCTTCTCTCTAATATTAAGACTCGAACTCAAAGTCACTGGCTAGCTAGCTACCTGTACATGCCTCATGTTCAACTACATTTTATATAATATGAGAAATAAAACAAAAAGAAAATGATGGGATTATTAAGATATATCTTGAAAAAATAAAAAAGCAGTGCTAATAAATTGTTATTGAAGGTATTCTGATAGTATGCAGATAAGCCTATGCACAATGAGAGTTAAGAGTAGTGCATGGTTTAATCATGGAAGATGCCATAAATACATTTAAGTTAGATAAATTTATACATATATATATATATATATATATATATAAATAAATCCTTGTTTAAAATTTAAAAATGAATGAAATGTGTAATCATGATTATCATGTAACGTTTCAATATTTTATTTATTTATTTTTATAAACTTTTATAATTCAATTAATTGAGAATTAAAAAAGTAACACGTTTTAACTTTTTCTTTCTTTTTTACCATTTAAACATATATATATATATATATATAAACTGATCAGTTCAAGTTTTTATTCATTAAAGCTTTAAACCTTAGGCAACTTGATTTTCACCAAATTTGGAGAGTTGAACATGCATGCAATACCTTTATAAGGTCGATAATAAGATCCACTCCAAGTTCTCATGGAACCACTTTTGCTGAAATAACATTATATCATTTATGGATCATATTTGCTGGAAACAGAAAGTGTTGAGTAGCGAATTGGGCCATTGGATTTGGACACACCTTGTTCAGGATCCAGCAATGATACAATATATGCCGAACACGTGATAATTGCATAGGAGAGTACCATCAACTAAACATAATATGGAACACACACTTCGTGATTAAACAAATTAATCAGATCTTTTTATCTAATACAACTAATAGAAAGACTTAGCATTTGCCATAGTCAACTTGCCCACAAGCCTCATCCCCAATTGGAAGGTGCCACTTTAACAGCTCCACTTTTTTCTCTTCTTAGAATTTTTCTTTTTTCTAATTCCTTTAAAGAGTTAAGAGTTTGTGAGTGGGGAGTTGAAAAGATTAAGCCACCATTATCTATAAGTCTATGTGCATTGCATTGACCATATCTAAGAGGAGGTTATTTTTATACAAAAATGGGAGTGAGTTTAGACTATAAAACTAACAAGAAAATAGGTTATGTATTAATGATATAAAATAACTTTGTACTATCTTTTAATTACAAAATTATGATATATGATATGTCTAATAACTTTTATAATAATCACTTTAAAAATCACATAGATAATAATTTTTAATTGATTGATAATGTAAAATTATTTTACACAATGATATATGATCATTAAACTCTAAAACTATACATAAAAAGTTAATATTTAATGTTAAATGATTATGTAAAGAATATAACTATTTAAAAAAAATAAAAAATAAAAACTCACAAGGCTTTTGTATTTTAATTTTTCATGGATAAGATCCAAAAGTGGATTTGTATTCCTCTATCATCTTACATATAAAAAGCTCTTTCATAGTATATATACGTCAATAAAATAAAATTATACTTAATATAGTCTATTCAATAACAATTTTCACTTCAAGCAAGGCTCTCTCTCTCTATATATATCTAACATGGAGGATAAGTTTCATCATCTGTCACAAGTCACAACTGCTAGTACTTTTCTTTCTTTAATCCTAGACATCCATGAGGCTTTTATATTTTCTTCTACTCTTGTTCTTCTTCTTGTTTATCCTTTTTCATCCCTCCATCGCAGCCAGGTAAATATGTTATAATTGTGCAACAACTGGGCTGAAACAGTTTAAATGGTGATGACTAGTTTGATTCCTAAGACTGAAAAAAAAAATTGAAAATATTGGCAGGTACAGATTTCCTTCCCCTCCTCCTTCCCCTCAAGCATGCTGCCCTAACCATAGGCCACATGTTGATGCAAATCGTCCATGAAAAGTCAAGGCTAAACTCTGAATTTAATCATGAAGGACCCATTTTCATGCAACTTATATGTTTTCTTCCTCTATAAATGTCATCACTTGTTTATGTAGACTGAAGACAAAGTTGTGGTTGGAATTACTATAACCACCATACCATCTATAGTTTTATCATAATTAACAACCATGCAATGAGCAACTTTCAGAATTGGAATGTATGAAAAGCTTTATCCTTATGTTATTGTATATCATAATTAACAACCATGTAATGATCAACTTTCAAAAATGGAATGCATGAAAAGTTTTATCCTTATATTATTATATATATACAGGAACACGATGTTTTTGTTTCTTTTCATTAACTCGAGTGATGAATGATAATCTATAAGTTTATATATTTATTTGGATTCAGTTTTTTCTTTGAAATTATTTCTAACTATGTTGTTGATATAATGTATTCACTGATTTTATTGATGATTGATTAATTATCTTTAGTAAGATCTTTCTTTTTAATTATTTTTTTTATTTTTTTTCACAACCTTATTAGTTCTGTAGAGCTATTTTGATTTCGTCTTCAAAATATAAAATAATAAATGAAATATCAAGTTTACGTACTACAATGTTTTACTGTGTTGTTTTGGAAAACACACGGAACCATAATGAGAAGAAGAATTTGAACATCAAACAATTTTTACCATAAGTTACTATTGCTACTACATATAGTTAGCCTAGGAATTCTTACTCCGAAGTCAGACACTTTCTTTTTGGCAAAACATCGTTGCTAGTGCTTCCATGATTATTCTGTTGACATGCAACAGATGATTCAAAGCTTGGTGGATATACGGATACTGTATTTATATCATAACTAGTCTTTTATCTCACAAAGGGGATGTATTTTAGCCCAACAAAAAACGCTGGAAATATTTATGATCCAAATAACTTGCTCCATTGCCTTTTGTTTTTGGAAGTTCTTCTATTAAAATGTAAATGTGTCATGATTGAATCACTCTCATGCAGGTACACTATAACTAGGGGTGGGTATATAGACTTGAGTCCGCGGACCGGTCCGTAAGTCCGCGGACTTCACGGATAACGGGCCCATTTTTTTTAATCCGTCTAATCATACGGACTTTTTAGGTCCGGCCCGTTTAGTCCGCGGATTTTGCGGATTTAATCCGCGAGCCCGCGGATTACCCGTTTAAATGTGGACTCAAATTTTATTATTGAAGATGCTTGATTATATTTGATAGATATAATTGAACTTACAAATATTTTATGTTTGTTTTTAAGATATTAATTAAGACTTTGATGTTTTAAGGTATTTAGACTTTGATGTACTTGGACTTACAAATGTTTTATATTTGTTTGGTTGTGTATTAAGACTTTTAAAGTTTTAAGGTAGTAAGGCTTTAATATTTGGTTAATAGTTGGTATGCTTGGACTTTAAATTTTAAAGGCATTGAGACTTAAATATTTCTATTAGAAATTTAGAATGTGTAAACTTTGTTATTTAAGACTTTGATTTATTATTTACAATGTTTGATGTTATTATTAGAAGTATATTTATATCATTTTATATGTTTTTTTTCCTCATATTTTCATAGGTTAAATAAAGGAAAATAAATTCAAAATCTAAGTCAATATTCATTTAAACAATTTAGATTTAATTGGGCCCGCGGACTTATCCGTTTATCCGCGAGCTTCACAGGCCGGATACGGACTTGAAGATTTAAGTCCATTTATTTCGCGGACCGGATTTATCCGGCCCGTTAAAATTATGGACTTCGCGGACCGGGCCTTAAACGGGCTGGACCGGTCCGCATACCCACCACTAACTATAACATAATCCCTCTTAGCTGAATAAAAAAAGGATGTAAAAATGTTGACTTGATACTCACCTGCTAATCAACGAAAGGCCTAAATTACGATTGTGATTACATGCATAACTGCATATTATTATGCCACCCACCAGCAAACGTCTAAAAGCACTATGAAATTGAAGGAAAAAAAAAACTTTAAATTGTATTTGGAATACTTTCAGTCTAAACTGCCAGCAGTTGAAATCTTAAGGTGATAACTTTGATGGTCACTTTCTTTTCTTTCATCAAGAGAAAATAGAACTTGATTTATCTTCAAACTGATAATTAACCCAAAGATTTAAAGACTTGATTAACTAAATAAACATTATATTATAGCGCATCTACAAAATGCAATATTTTTTCTCTCTAGATACCCATTACTAAATCTGGGTACGACTGTTTTAATACTTTGATTTTTTTTTAGGATGATCACTTTGAATTTAAAACATTTACCTATAAGGGAAAAAAATTGACCCCGCCCTGCAAAAAATTCATAAAACAAGGCAAAGGAGGCCTAATGTCTATTTTTCAACTATCTAGATAAAATTTCTAACAATAAGAGTTTGAAGAGGGAGTTTGTGGTCCATTTTTCTCCTCTCACTCATAAGCATTCTCCCAATCATCAACTACTTCAGAAACCTCTGCTGCATCCGAGTTTCCTTCTCCATTTGAGCCACCTGCACCAGACACAAACGTTGAGACAGCACTATTTTCAACTTGCTTCCCAGAGACTTCAGCTCTAACGGTTGTCAATGAGGACGAACTTGAACCCGAACCAGACTCATGCTCCAAGACATTCCAACGGTTTAAAGAAGCAGCTATAGGTGCTTCTTTCTTCCAAACAGATGGCTGGACAGAACCAGTAGCCAAACCTTCATCACCCCAAGAATCTTCTTTCCAATCAGAGTCTTGAACCACAGCCTTTTTCCATGAGTTGCCTCTTGAAGCTGAGGTTGATGCTAACGCCGCTCCTCCTTTTGCTGCCCCAGCTCCTCCCCAGGCATTGGTAGCTGAAGATGCAACATTTGGGGCGACCAAAACAGCTCCCTGATAAACTGTTCCGTGATCCAACCTCCTCATTGCAGTTGCAGCTCGAGCAGGATCATGAAAAACAGCCAAAGCATTCTTGTCATTCAACCAAACCAGCTCACACTCGCCACCAAACCTCAACACCAAGGCACTAATATCGGCGTCCCTTGGTAAGTCTGGAAACGAGACAACAAGCCGTGGGTCCATATCAACTGTTGGATCAAATACCGGAGGAAGGGGCGCACTTAAAGTTGGAGTACCCTTAACCCCTATCACACGAGCTGGGGCCTTTGATTTTGGGGTAACAGAAATAACAATAAATCGCTTCGGGTCCCAGCCACCGGCATTGATTGCAAGCTTCCATCTTTCAGCGATTGACCTCACAGCATCTCTATTCTCCTTTGGCATTGGACAAAATATGTGGACTTTTAAACCATGTGTAATTCCTCTACTCTTGCCAAGTACTAAAACTTTGCATCTCTCCTCAACAGCTAAAACCCATTTTGGATCACGCCTGAAGATATCAGAAAGCGATTCAGAAGAAAGAGAGTTCTCACCAAAATGGAGTGAATCCAGACTTGGAGGAGTAATGTCAAAAGCATCCGCAAGAACCCTTTTGCGTTCCAACTTGGCACATTCATCATCACACATCAGCTTTCTTTGTCCAAGGGGAACTTTCTTGCCATTTGCATCCACTGGTTGAAGTGGTACAGGCAACGTTTGAATAATGGAAGCTTCATGTATGGCATCAGCATTATAATTGTTACTGCTACCACCAGCATCACAAGGAACATTTGCTGTTATACGGCCACAAGAGCAAGTGATAGTAACAGGGAATTCACATTTTATATCTGGGCACGGAGATGAAGGGTGACAAGGAGCCATACACATGTGCCGGCAGCATCTCCTTGGAGCACCACATGTTTGGCCACATGGCGCTTTGAAACCTTGCACAACACCAGATACATTATCACAAGGTGGGGGGTGACACGTTCTGCCACATGCATGTAAACCACACTGCCTGGTCTTGCCACAGAGATGATTGCATCTGATATCCTTTGAACCACAAGGTATGTTCCTAAGAACTACATGCCCGCCAATACAGTGTTTTGCTACAGGCACTGAACAAGGAGGGCAGTCTCCAAAATGGCAACTGTGTGAGCCTGAATGGCCACACGGCTGAGGAACTGAGCACGGAAGCTGACATGAAGGAGGTGGTGTACCACAAGGTAGAGGAGGAAGGATTGATGTCCTACCACAAGCACAAGTCAATTCAGTAAAGATTGTTTCGAGACAAGGTGGACAGTGACCACTGTGACACAGAGATTCACACACATGCTGGCCGCACCTTAGCTTCTTTTCGCATGCCATGGAACAAAAGTGAGGATCCCAATCCCCACTCAAATTATTATTTGGATTAGAAAGTGGACAACACTTTTCACTACATCGATGCCTTCCGCAGTTCTTTTTTCTCCCACAAGACTTTTCACACATGAATTTCTCATTCATCATTGTAGTCCTATAGCACTCCACAGTTCGGATAGTTGAGCCACAACGGCATTTCTGTGAAACTAGAACCATACAAGGTGGACACAACCCAGCATGACATGGCTCTTTACAACGATGCGTGCTACAATGAAGGAGCTTGCCACATACTTGTGAGCAGGTAGGTACCGGATCCAAACAACTCTTCCGTTCATTCTCCAACCTTGTTTTCCCACAACAGCATGTCTTAACCCGGCTTGGTAAAAGCTCACATTCCCCACAGCTGCCTGGATGACAATACTCGCTACAGACATGATTACCACAACTACGTTTCTTTAGACAATAGGAACCACAAGAAAAAACCCCACCTTTTGCTTCAATTTCACCCTTCACAGCCATCTGCCCACAAGGAATAACCTCCGTCGTTTTAGTACAAAAGCATGAGGCATTGATCGAAACTTGACAAGGATCGCAGGGACCAATGTGACAAATGCGTTCACAGGGATGGCGCTCACATTCAAGAAGCTTACCACAGCACTGTCCACAGGTAAGAACAGACCTCCTATCAGAGCAGCGGGTGGCAATAGTTTTCTTCCCACAAGGGCACAACCGTGGGGGAGCAAATGCTTTACAAGGAGGGCATGGCCCTGGATGGCATTGCAAGACACAAGAATGAGGGCAAAGGTCATCCTTATTACTTCCAGCAACCAACACCTCCCTCTCAAGAGGCTTCCCACATGGTTCTCCACATGAATGTGGTGTCAGATACAAATCAGAAGGAGGGTTTGTCCTCTTCCCACAAAAGCAAACATACCGAATCTCCTTAGAAGAGGTGAGCTGCACAAACTGACAACCAGGACACCGCCAATTAATCCCTTGATTCTTCTCCACAGAAAAATCACCCGAGATGGGTGCCCTGGCCCAAATCTTGATGCAATTCAGATGAAAGATAGCATAGCAGCTGGAGCAAGACCAAACAGGCGCAGACCTCTTTACCATTTCACAGCATATCATGCACTCCACAGTACTTTTCAAGAGCTTCTCCTGAATCTCCTGCACCAATTGAGGCAAACTAGAGTCTCTGACTCCCAAACTCAATCCCCTCCCCACCTGATTCCCACTCCTCCTTCCTTTATCTCTTTCCCTTTCCCTTTCCGCCCTATGAGGTCCATGATTGCTTTCCACCCTATGACTCCCATGATTGCTTTCCACCCTATGAGTCCCATGATTGCTTCTATGGAGAGTGACCGGAGCAACGGGGACCCCTTGATTGGAAGAACCAGCATCAGCATTGTTATTCGAGTGCAAATTTGAGGGCTGAACAGAAGTGGTGGATGCAGCACTCCTTCTGGGGACCCATTCTTGACGAGTAGCACCTTGTGATGGAACCCTGGACCCGTCCCTTCTTTCTCTTCGAAGTTGAGAGCTCATATCTCTATAATCCTCCTAACACACACAAAAATTGAAACTTTAAATAACTACAACAACCTAAATTCAACCCCACGCACCCACAAAAACACACACACAATACAAACCACAATATTCACCTAGCCCTCAATTCTTCTCAAACTGAAACATATAAACAAATGGCAATTAAACACAAAATTAAACCCCAACAAAATAGAGAGAACCCTAAAATCAAAACCAAGAATTATAGACATTGACAGTTTCATTTCCAAGAGCTGAAATGCAAGCAAGCCTTAAAGGGTCTATTTAATTTAATTTTTATTTATATTTTATTCGGTGAATGATGGGAAACAACGAAATGAATGTGCAGAGAAGAGAAAAATGGAATACCTGGAGATGAGGGAAGGAAGAGAGAATGGACACTTCGATGATTCGCTTATTGTTGTGAGTGTTGTGTCTGAATTTTGAGTTTTTATTTTGAGATTTGTTTGTTTTGTTCCGCAACAGCCTCTGCTTTTATACTTTTGTTGCGAGAGTTTTCTGGAGTCGGTTGGAGGAGAACAAATTATTAAAAAAAAAATAAGTGTTTGATTTTTATTGGGCTCAAGAAATTGGAGGCCCTCTAAGACAAGCCCAAGTGGGGTCATTTTCTTTTTAACCTATTTTTTTTTATGGTGTACCTAGGTCAATGTATTTGTGTTTACCTATAAAAGTTTTTCTTATTCTTTGACTGTATTGATTGTGAAACATTATTATTATTATTTAAGTCAGATAAAATTATTTTTTTCAGTTCTCTACGTGTATTTGTGAAAAAAGTAAATTAGAAATAAAAATAATTATTATTTATATGAATTTAACTTACGCAAAACTAATTTTAGTTTGTGGAGTAAACATATTTTATTTCCTTCGTTTGCTTTTTCATCCTATAAGAGTTTATGAAAAAAAAAAATTTAATATGAAATTTATTTAAATATAATTTAAAAATATTTTTTAATAATTTTTCTATAAAAATAAAGAATATTTTTTAGTAAATAAACTCTCAAAAGTGTTTTTAAATCTATATCTAAACATGTTCATGATCTTTTAATATGATAAGAGAAGATATTCAAATTTTAAATATAAATATATTTAATAAAATAATAATAAATTATAAAGGAATGTGTTGAGTACCGAGGGAGGTTTTCACATATATACACATGTCTCCACATTGGTGAGATATTGTCCGCTTTAGGCTCAAGCCCTCACGGATTTGCTTTTGGACATTACCTAAAAGATCTTTCTTCCACATTTCGACACAAGAGATTCCAAACTTGGATCCACCTGCCAGCCATTATACTCGTCGAGCCGGTCACCTCAGACCATCGATTCTGATATCACTTGTTGTGCATTAGGGGTTACCACACACATACACATGTCTCCACATTGGTGAGATATTGTCTACTTTGGATCCAACCTCACGGTTTTACTTTTGGATCTATCATCTTATTTGAACGATATGAGACTTTGCTTGGATCCCAACAAAATGAATTATGATTTTGTATTTAATATTTATCATCATATAAAATAGTCTAGTAACTTTGAAAATAGGAAGTTAATTATATAAATTAGGACAATTATGTTAAATGAGACTGTTTTTTTATCTAATTACTAACTATATACCTTATGATGACATTATTGATTTTTATAATAAACAGACTAAAAAGGCATGCAAATGATGAATTTATTTGATTGAAGTGTAAAAGCATTTTATTCTATGAGTAGCCATTAAACTTTAGGTAAAAAATTAATTTTATATCACAATAAAATTATAAATTTAAAACATATTTAATATGTTAAAAATATTATTTATTATAAATTTAATTATATCTCAATTTATATCTTAAAAAAATATTTATTATATTTTTACTTATATAAAATAAACAAAGATATTGTACGTTACACAACATAAAATACTGGTTATTAAAAAAATTAAAAGAGAATGATGGACATCTAATTAGTAATATGGTTTTCTAAAATTAAATGATATTTTTTTTTAAACAGCACATATGAATTAATATTAATTAAGGCACTAGGGGTGTCATAACCCTGTTTACAAAGATTTTGGTTAGATATAATATAGTAAGATAATTATATTACTAGCTAACCAATTAAATTGTCAATGATGGTAATCAAATACTCGTGAAGCCCAATACCTTTTACCTACAGTTTTGATCCATTCCCCATATCTACATATTCAAGTGTTCCTTCATGGCCCAATGTGGTGCTTTCCATGATTACTTCCAGCTGTCCCAAATTTGGTGAGACACTTGAATGGCATTAAAAGCCTCGTCACGCATTCGGAAAGACCCTGGATGCATGCGGGTCGTTTCTTCCTCAATAGACCTAGTTAGTGTTGCCATTTCTCCACTCCTAAAAATTGGTACCTCAAATGTTCTCACCCACAAGGTTCCTCTTTGTTGAAACATATGTCACCTTCGTTTTTGATGGAATCATGCTAAGGAAGGCAAGAGGTGACAACTTAAAAGATCCTAAGAGGAGTCCTTCTATCTATTCTCAGAAAGAAAAAATAACTATCAAAATTAGACTCCTTAAAAGTAGAATTAGGATCCTCTTCTAAGTATAACCTAGAATGAAATCCTAAAAATGTAATGAAGAGGATCCGTGCATAAGGAGAGCTAAGGAGAAGTCATCTTCCACTCCTCCTAACCTCTTCTATCAGTTTTCCTATTAATGCTTTATTAAACACGTCCGTATCTTTAATCCCCATTCCTTCTTAATCCTTTTGTCCGCATTTTTTCACCTTTCCAATTTATTTTTGTTCCCCCATTTTCATCCCATATGGAGTTTCTCCTAATTTTCTCCACACACTCTAGCTTAACCTTTACATAAGGCACTCACCTGGGTTTATGGACCACTGCACAAAGTTGTAGTTAAATTTCTTGTCCAGACTTAGCCAATTCCAAGCAATGACATGAATATCCTTTATCAATTGTTGTGGCTGGAAAGCTTTTTCCCTAAACATACAGTTATTCCTAGTTGCCATATGTTCCAGATTGTTGCACACCAAATAACCCTCCAATTTTTTGTGACTTCCTTTGAGGGACTTTTGAGAGGTATCTATGAAAAATGTTGGACTGTGTTGGCTGGTAAGACAGTTGCTATGGACCTCAATTATAGCATTCCTTCCAAATTGAATCTATTACTATGCAGGTGAAAAAGGTATGACTGAGAGTTTCTGGTTCTCTATTGCAGAAAGAACAAACTCCACCTTCACCCTCAAATATAATATGTCTTCTCTATAGGTTGTCATAAGAAGCTAACCCGTTTGAATTAAGTCTCCATACTATAATTGCTGCTCTTGGGGGGATCTTCAATTCCCAAACCTTTTTTGATATGGAGTACCATATTTGAATTAAATGTAAAAAATAATAATTATACTTGTACATTAATTGATATAGTTTCATCTTTTTGTGGGTATATCTCTCTCAATTAATTAATGCAATAAATTATGTGATGAAGAGACAACAATAAAAAAATATGATGTCGTCAAAATTCTTGTACAAAGATCATTTTTTTAAAAAGATGTTATTAAAAGTGTGGAATTTTCAAAGAAATTAAATGATAAGATAGACAAATAATCAATGATATATATATTTTTAAATAGATTGTATTTTAATTAAAGATGTAAATATTATTAATATAATAAAAATTAAAAAGAAATTAAAGATCAAATATTGTTAATATTACGACCCGCCAAGTTTTACACTTATTACAACTCAATAACTGAGCAACAAAAAACATAAATATAATTTAATATAGGATTATCATGCAAACAATTCCTAAATATTTATGTAACAATATATGAAAGGAATTAACAACTTAAAACTTAAAATTCTTTAATGGGATAATAACCAAATCTTGTACATATTATATATATATAT